GGCGGCGGCTCTGGGGAGCCCTGCCGCCGAACCGCGCAGCGCAGCTCCGCTCGGCACGCGGCTGGCAGGAAGGGCGCGGAGAGCTGGCTCCTGCCGCCGACGGAGGAGGGCCGCGCCATGGCGGACGCGCGCTTCCTCCTCCTAGCCCTGGCGCTGCGACTGCAGCTGCCTTCGGCCGCGACCGCCGGCGCCACCTGCCTGTTGCGCCAGGATGGCGGCGCGCTCTGCGGGGCCGACTTGGCCACGACGCCGGGGCGCTGCTTGGGCTGCCGCGTCGGCGGCGTCACGAGCCATCGCCGCGACGGCGTCGGGGACTGGCTCGCCCTCCCCTGATGATCCCGTTTAAAAAAATGACACATAATAAAGCTGGGGCCTGGGACTCCGGGCGCGGATTTTCACGATGTTGTATTTTTTCACTGCGTCGGATCTCAGGGTCTGGCTGCGGGCCCAGGGCGCGACGGTCGTGGGCGCGGAGCAGCTCGCGCCCGCCCGGAGCCGCGCGCGGGCGGACGGCGCCGTCGAGGCTGCACGCCTTGGCGAGGTCAACGCCGACCCCGCGGCCGGCATTTCCTACGTTGACGCGGCGGTTGCAGACGCCGCCCTGGGCGCGGACGCGCCAGCGGGCAGGGGCCGCGCCGTCTGGGGCAGCGCCGCCGCGGCTGTCGGGGAGGAGCGCGAGCGCAGGCGCTGCGCGGCCCGTCTCTCACGGCCTTCGCGCTGGAGGCGATGTGTGTGAATCCCCCTACTTTCCTCCTATCTTGCTCATATCCATCGCCCCTCTTGGCTCGGATGACAGGTACTCGATAGTTAGAGGTACGTTGGGTAAAACCATCGTTCCTCATCGTCTACCGACGGACACTCGGGGGTGGGGTCGGTCCATTGGTCCTCCTCACCCTCACACAGGTTATCAGCCTTCTCTTTTATATCCGACATCGCGTCCAACCTGCGACCCGACCTGACGACATCGGACTGGTTATGCAGGATGACGGCACGACACCAGTCGTCCGCCCTCCCGCATGATGAGTCGTCGCCGTCAGTCGTGCGCAACTTGGATGCTGCTATGTCTGATATTCTAGGAGCCTCCCCCAATTTTGCGGCCCGCATGGCCATCTCCCCAGGAACTGACGGATTAGACGAAGCTATGCCCCCACCCAGTGCAGCGCAGTCAATGCAGCGGGACACCGCAGCAATGCCAGCGTTGCCCACCCAGGCGGCAATTCAGCTTCAAGCTATGCAAGCTGAGCTGCAACAGCTTCGTGCCTTGCACGCTCACAGCGTTTCAGCACCCTCACTTCCTATTGGAGATCAGCCCTCCCTTCAACAGCGATTCTTACACGCCGCTCCAGGGCTCACGCCTCAATTCCCCACCCTTCATACCACATCTGACGTCCCTCCCGCAGCCCTGCATCAGTCAGCGCGGCGGGAAACCGCAGCCCCGCCACCAACAGCGCAGCGGGCTACCGCAGCACTGTCGCAGACAGTGCAGCGGGACACCGCTGCTCAACAGATGCCTACACCCTCCTCCCCACCGAGAGAGAGAGGTACTGGCACACGAAGGCGGGGTCACGGGACGCCCGAACAAACAGGGATTGAACAGGGACAGGTTTATGAGCGAGTCCGCGAATTCGAAAATCGTACTTCTGACCATGGCCCTAGTCGCCGTGCTCTCTCTAGGAGCCAAGCCCCCAGGCGCGGCCCCGAACAGTACATCATTCGAGACGATCGCGGCAGTCGGAGTCCATCTGTCCGGGGGGTTCGCATTAGGCCCCGAAGTTCCCCAGCCGCAGACCGAAATAGGGAGACTCTGCCAATGCAAGATATGGCTGAGCTACGAGATCACGTGCACACATACGTTGAATATCAAACTAGCCTTGTCCACAAGGCTGTCGCCTCTGACACCGCCGTCCTTCGGAGTGACCTCCAACAGGGTCTTTCAATCCTGGACGCTGCCGTACAAGAGGATCGTCGGGTCATGCAACAGCTAATACAGCGTCTCGATATACAACTAGATCGCGAGACTACCGAACTTGTGGCCGTCAAGTCCGACTTCGATCGACTTGAAGCTAGCGTCATTCAGATACGTCAAAGCAACGATGAACGTGCACGCATTCTTCGCGAAGAGCTGCGTGAAGTCGTGGGTACAGCTTCAGGTGCCTTCGTAGCGCCTTCCACCGCACTACAAGGTCACATCGCCACGATCCGTGGTGAAACAGAAGCTGCAGCACGTGAACTGCACGATCATACACGCTCCGTTCAGCAAGATTTGTATGGCAAGTTATGTGAGGCTGAGAACGCTTTCCAAGCTCAACTCTCTTCCTGTCAGGTTCAACATGTACCACAGCTTATATCCAGAGTCCACACTCTCGAGCAGACCGTAGCTGAGCTGCAGGTCGCACGGGCTCATACTGCGCAGGTGAGTCCCACTGCCACGGTGACCAACCCCGACGTGACGGCAGCTGTTCTACAGACCGTCCGAGCGGAGGTGGCACACTTGCAAAGGCAGCTGCAGGATTCTGTGGCCGAGAGGGATGCCGAGTCAGCACGCGCGAATGCGCGCCTGGATCAAATGAACGCTGAGATGGCTCGTCTTGCTAACGAGAATGTTGACCTACGTACTCTTATCGCCAACTATACTACCCACAATAAGGATGACGTTCGATTCCTCACGGATACCCAGAAGCATCAACACGCTGAATTGGATGTGTTGTCTGATTGTGTCGCAAAACTGCAGGCAGACAACACCACGCTTGAGCAAACAATACACGAACACATCGCGGACGCAGCTAAACATACACCTGTTACCGGCTCTCGCCGCCCCTCCCCTGACACCGCTGCTCGCGATGCGGGGGGTTCTACTGGGGCCGCTTCCAAGCCGACACTTCCTCAGGCAGGGACTGGTGCTGACGAGCAGCGGGGAACCGCAGCCCAGCCCCCTGCCCCTGAGCCACCTGCAGACAATGCAAGCTATCGAACACATTCCCCCATTAACCTTGGCCCACTCGGCTCCAACAATGCGCAATCTCCGTACAATGTTGGCGGGTCACTACTACCTGCCACTGTCAAAGAAAGTGACCGTGTTCGGGTCCCAGGCTTCCCTAAGATCACAGGGGTCTCCGATTGGATGAATGGTGTCCGCAAGGGTTTCAGAAACGCATCTGGACGCCCAGCTCAGGCATACGCCTTCATCATGGTAGCGGAGAACCCTGACATCACGTTCG